GGTTGGGCAAACTCCCATGAACCCTCCGCCACCCTGAAGAGGGTATAGAGCTGGTCCAGTGTTCCACGACCAGGACGAAAACCGCATTGTTCCTCCTGAATCCAAGGTTCGACTATTGGTCGAATTCTCCTCTCCAGTACCCTGGCATAGACTTTCCCGGGGAGGCTGAGGAGTGTGATCCCCCTATAGTTGGAACACACCCTCCGGTCCCCCTTCTTAAAAAGAGGGACCACCACCCCGGTCTGCCAGTCCAGAGGCACTGTCCCCGACCGCCATGCGACGTTGCAGAGGCGTGTCAACCAAGACAGCCCAACAACATCCAGAGACTTAAGGTACTCAGGGCGGATCTCATCCACCCCCGGTACCTTGCCATCGAGGAGCTTCTTGACTACCTCAGTGACTTCAGCTTGGGTGATGGACGAGTCCACCTCTGAGCCCTCAGCCTCTGCTTTCTCATTGGAAGACACAGCGCCGGCGACACCAATCAAATCAAATAAACTTAAAATCAAAGATGTAGGTAAAATATCAACAGGGCTGGCAGAGGGCTTAATCTTTCTTATTAAAATCTTCACATCCTCAAGAGTAACCGGAGAGAAAGATGACCAAAAACATACAGGAGGGGTCACATCAACTAGACTCTTCCAGGTAGGAATAATACTTGCCCTAATGTCCTGCACTTTATCTATAAAAAAGTTTAAGAACACATTACAATCCTGTCCTGTGTGCACAGCGCCTTGGGAACATGACGGTGCCACAATATTTCGAATGGTATCAAACAGCACCTTGGGATTTACACAACCAGTGTCCTCTTTCGTTACAAATCCAGCACCTGTCATCTCTTGGCGGACCTCTTCTGAGAGTCCGAGGTCCTTGACCTCTTCCCCGTGGTCTGCCACGGTACTGAAGTCCACAGTACATGGGAGCAGAATCCCACTGATAAGGTGGTGCGGTCGGCTGTTGAACAAAGGGTTGCTGCTGTGCATATGGCTGTAGAGCTTTCTGCATAGGCATTTGGTTATCTGTGGCTTTAATTTGATTAACTTTGTCACACATTTCCTTCAACTGCGCTTTAGCTAACTGTGCCTGCAAAGAAGAAAGTTCCTTTGCATTCTTTTCTTACACGTCCAGCTCATTGTCAATATACTGAGTGACATAGGCGGACCACTGCTCAAAGGTAAATTTGGTGAGTCCCACCACCTGTCTCAGAAGATGCTGTATGGATGCTGGGAGGGAAGCCTCCACAGCACTGCGAAATAGCACCCCCATGGTGTCACTGATGGCTGGGTCCTCACCACTGAGATTCTGCCGGAGTTCATGCACTCTGAGCAAATACTGACTACATCTCTCACCCTCTTGAGGTGGAATTCTAAACAACTCAACAGAGTGCACCTGTATTGGGAATTTCTGGCATACCACTGGCCAAAGCCAATGAATCTCAGTATGGAGTGCAACATTATCATGATCCCTTTTTGCCATTAATTCTACCTCCCGTAACATGCTCAGGGAAGTACAGGTTGTAAAAACATGATGAAAATCTCCAAGTGCAGGCACAAATCCTGCACAAGCCCCTAAAAAAATCCCTAATCCACGGTGCAAACCCCCTTTTCAATTTCAGGTAGCTGGGATCTAACCTGCAGTTTGTCTTTGGAGACCTTGAAGTTATTCCGGGCTAAATGTGACAGCAAGGAGCCAGTGGCTGTCATTATGGTTTCTGAGTCAGGAGCCGCTAACAAAAGGTCATCAACATATTGTAACAAAGTGATGAGAAATCATGCACTGTGCCATCCCAGCTGGAATCACTACCATGAGACATTGCTGGCACTGAAACGTCACAAAGGTGCCAATCTTCCTCCTCTCTGAAAGAGGCAGAAGCACATGCACTGACAACTGGAGTTGTGGGCTGGTCTAGACAGCCGGATTTTAACTCATTTAGATAAGTCTGTGCATCTTACCTCCTGGAAATGATGCCGTGTGTAGAATTCCTCCCTGTACAACCACCAGGGGCATCATGCCCTGTGTTGCACTTTGTGGCATGTGTCTAGATAAGCCACTCTTTAATATAGGCTTCCGTTTTCCATGTGGAGATCGTGGGGAAGACGGCTGTGTATGTGTGAACTGCACCTTGTAATCTGTGCTAGAAGGTCCAGCTTGCACTGGAATGTCTGTGTGTGGTTGTATAACAGTACCATTCAGAAAATTAACTTCAACTGGCATTTGTGACTTGCATGAACTGGCAGAAGGAGACTGAAAACATTTGAAATTTCCTAAAAAGCTTGTACAATCAGCAAGAAAACCCCCAGCTTGTTTCAATCTTGCTTCAGCTTTGTTTCTTCTCAAAAAAGTACAGTGACTGAATTGCAGTCTAGCTTTATCAGCAGAAAGAGTTGCTTACTTCAAAAATAGTCCTATAGCATCCCCTTGTGGGGGAGGACTGTCACTATCCCCAAACATCCCTCTATTCTGCATTTGTTGGACCCATGCAATAAAACAGTTTTTTGCATTATCCTGCTCATCTTTAGGAACTGTATTTAACCATTTAAACAAAACCCTATAAAGTAATGACCCCAAAGAGTCAGGTTTACACACTTTCCACTCTTGCACAATGTTTACAGACATACTGATAATTATGCACACGTGACTGGCGTCTCAAACTGGAATGGTCTCCGCCAAGAACTGTTGATCTGGCTGTGATTTAGGGAAAAAGACATGTTTGGCTCTCATGTCATCCCAGCAATGAAATGCAGTCTTTTTTTTTGTTTGTTTGTTTGCTGCCTAAATAGCAGAGGCAGAAACCAAATTTACATCAGCCAGATTGAAGTGAAAAGTGACAAGGAAAGCATTAGCTGGTTTCTTCTCACCCATTCATGTCTTCCTATCCATCTTTTTAGCCATTGTTTGCTCCGGGATTTGTTTTTCCCCCCCCAGTCTTTCTAGGGAGAAAAATGACAGTGTACGAGTGAGTGTGGATTTGTGTGCTGTGCCACTACTTCCACCTCACAGCAAGCTAGTCTTCCTGTCGGAGCAAAAAAATCCTAATAATTTTGGAGACAACCATGAAAGATTTGTGGTTATCCACTTAACGTGGATTTTACGTCTCTAACTTTCACCGATTTCTGTAACTTATTTTTCAATCCCTCAAATGAAACTATGTGCTTGCAACTTTACGTGTGGCAAAAACAACAATAATTGTTCAATTTTTAAATTGGGAATTTACCCGGTTCGGACCGTCCGCTCAGAATTCAGCCAATTCCGAAGGTCACGGCATCAAATTGTAATACCCCAGTTCTTTAATTGGACAGCTCTGAATAACGAAGGAGCCCGTCTTTCTTCATATTTAAACCACAAGTAAAAATTACAAACATGACCCTGGTTGTTCCCTTTTCCAGAAACACACACACTGCTGCTGGAAAAAGGAGTCCCTGGCCACACAAAGCCTAATACATTTATAAGTTTTGGGCTAACCCCTTACCCAGATGAAGTCAGTCTGCAGACTACATCTCTTATCTAGTACTGCAGCTGCATTTCTATCTAGTCATAACAAAATGAAGAATCTCAATGTGTGTGTATGTTGTCACTTGGTGTGTAGTTAAGGCTTTCATTTATTTATTCAGATATAATATTCTAACACAAGATTTAATACAAGAAAACAATTGGTGTCATGGTTCACTTTTCAGAATCAACATTCTGTCTGATAACCTTGAAACAAAACAGACTAGAGCAGACTTTGAATCTTACTAAATTGCATTACTAACACATTAAGGTCTAACAATTACTAATATCTAACAGTGCAATACCTGTAAATATACCTCATACAGATTATACAGATTTGTACAGGTTTCTAGTTTTAGGTACTCTGTTTTTATTTTTATTTATCTTCCGTGAGCATTCCTTTGTTTGTCTGCATTGTTTACTGCCTGTCTATACTGCTTATTTTGTATCGTTTGCTCTGGTTGTTGCTGCTAATTATTTTTATCTTACACAGCCTTAAGCTGGTTTACTGTTTACCTGCTCCTTCGGGATATGTACATACACATTGAGAGCTGATGTACCAGAGTCAAATTCCTCGTGTGTCCGACACACCTGGCCAATAAAGCAGATTCTGATTCTGATTCTTCTGATTCTGAAATGCAAGAAAAAGTCATTCTGACTCAAGAACTCCTCTATAGGGTTCAGGAAAGGGGAGTAGGGTGGCAGACAGACGTTTAAAAAGTGGTTACTGTTGGGGGTGAACCACTCTCTGATTTGGTTTGTTTTGTGGAAGCGTACATTGTCCCAAATGATCACATAAATTTGATGTGCGGGCCCAGGATGGTGTTGTTGGCGGTCCAGGAGGATGTCTTTTAGCTCCTCTAGGAAGGTGAGGAGACGTTGGGTGTTGTAAGACCCAAGGACAGCATGCCGGTGGACAAGCCCCTCCAAACCCATGGCCGCACAAAGAGTAATATTACCCCCCCGTTGGCCAGGAACCTCAGTGATGGCTCTTTGGCCAATGATGTTACGGCCTCTTTGCCTTCGTTTCTGCAGGTTGAAGCCAGCCTCATCCAGGAAGAGGTACTCATGAGGTCTGGCCATCGTGTCCAACTGTAATATCCTCTGTGAAAATGTGAAAGTGCACAGGTGTTCAGAACAACAGTCAATCAGGTAGCACAGTATTGTCCAGAAGTAATGTAGGCCACTGAGCAACACAGTATGTCCACTAACTGTACTGTGAACATGGATGTATACTTACTTGCACATACTCGTAACGTAGGTCGTGTCGCGCAGAGTTGCGCTCAAAGGGAACCCTATAGACCTGTTTCATCCGCATCTTTTGGCGCCGGAGAATTCGGTCAATTGTGGCCAAGCTGACATCATCAATGCTCTCAAAGTTGACATTATCGGCAATGACTTTGTCTCTGATCTCTCGAAGTCTGATGAGGTTGTTCTCACGAACCATATCCACAATGCGGGTTTCTTGTGCCGCTGTAAATATGGCAACCCTCCCACCTCTATGTGGCATTCTTTCAACTCTAAAGAAAGAAACATGTGTTGTCAGTTTTACAATACAGTAACAACTGATTTGAAACCAATAGACTACTTTCACAGGCTTGTAAAATTGTATTGTGACAAAGAAAGCAATAGAGTACAATACCTGTTGTGTTGTCTGAATGCCCTGATAATGGTGGCCACGGTGAACCTACTCAGGTTTGGACGGACTCGTAGTCCTGCTTCAGCCATTGTCATGCCATGGACAATGACATGGTCAATGACTGTTGCTCGCATCTCGTCCGTAATGATGGTGCGAGGTTGTCTTGCTCTCCCTCCTGGACCTTCTCCTCTCCCTTGTTGGCCTGCTCCTCTTCCTCCTCTGATTTGAACTCCTCTTCCTCGTTGGCCTGCTCCTCTTCCTCCTCTGATTTGAACTCCTCTTCCTCGTTGGCCTGCTCCTCTTCCTCCTCTGATTTGAACTCCTCTTCCTCGTTGGCCTGCTCCTCTTCCTCCTCTGATTTGAACTCCTCTTCCTCGTTGGCCTGCTCCTCTTCCTCCACTGATTTGAACTCCTCTTCCTCGTTGGCCTGCTCCTCTTCCTCCTCTGATTTGAACTCCTCTTCCTCGTTGGCCTGCTCCTCTTCTTCCATGGCCAGCTCTTCTCCCTCCTCTGACTCGAATTCCTCTTCCCCTGACTCTGCCTTCATCCATTGTGTTTGTTTGGAATCTTCAGCAAACTGTGCACTCTGAACTTGCTTTTGTACATGTGGTCACAGCATTAGCAACAAGTGTCTTCAATTTGGAGTCGTTGTGTGTAATGAATGACGCCAGGTGTGTTCATTGTGTTCAAATATTGCTGACTGTGGCAAGCATTTTGCACCACATGAGCTTTCATTTGAGAATATGAGCAGAGTTCTTTTGCAACTTGTGTTTTAGCA